AAAATCATCATATGACTCAGATCCCAGGTGAGTATTCTAAGAATTACAAAAAAAAAAAAAAAAAGGTAATTTAAAATCAAAAATCAGGGTCAAAATCTTCATATCAAATTCTGAAATTAGGAAGGTATTTTATTCAAGCTTCCACAAAGTTCATATCTGATATTAAGGGCCATTGTAAGCAAAGAGATGGACAGCATTCGTGGGAGTTTACTTTCCTAGAATCAGACCTAATTCTACAATATGGATTACTCAAGAACCAAACTAAAATTATTCTTAGTTACAGATATATCAAGTCCAAAGTTCAGAATCATAGATACAGATTCTGTGATTCTAAACAGATTTTAAGCTTTCTGCAATTTGCTTTTACTTATTACTCTAAACTTCATCTCTGCCAGATGCAATAATAATGATTTTAAAACAACAGTAATAATAAACCATTCACTTTCTAATAAACTGAGTGAATTCCAGATTTTCATTGCTCTTTAAGAGTACATACTCAATAGCTTGATGATTCTTTTTCTCCTTGCTTTCTTGACAGGTTTTAACTGTATCAAGAAAGTTAGAGAGAAATTTAGATATCATCCTGGAATGGATTTGGGGATGGGGAGGACAAGGGGTTCTTGGCATCATTCTCTCTCCTCTACGGCTTTCAGTGAGATGTAACTCATGTATTCTTCCCTCATGTGTATGCTCAGGCTCCCAGGATCACCAAACACGATTCTCTGTCCCTGAATGTCAAGATCCTTTTAGGCGTACAGGCCCACTCTCAGATTTCCCAAGCTGTCCCTGTGGGCTTGAGAATATCTATGCTGCATTCCTCATACCGTAATACTGTAGTAGATACGTTCTAAGGCTATCTAATCGCCCATTTCATAGACATCTCTCAGCCTATTTTGCTTTCCTTCTCTGGCAATGTGGTGGCCTAAGACTTCTGTATCAGATGTGAAGCCTCCCTAGGCCACACACAGGGAAGTAAAGCACAGTTTTACTCGGCTTTGAGACCCCCTTCATGACCTGAGTTTATATTTTCTACCTATCTAGGCCCAGGGGTTCAGTGCGGACAGGGGACATGGTGTGGGGTCCATAAGACTAACAGACCTCTTGGTAATTTGCTGTGCTCTCCCTTCTCCACAGGAGACAAGAACTCTTTGGCTCATCTAAGGAAGAGTTTACATCCCCTCCTCCTGGAGGAACTAGGGCAGGAGACTAACCAGGAAATTATACCCACTGTTTTGCCAAAACGCGAATGCTTAATATTGGGGAAAAAAAAAAAAAAAAAAAAAAAAAAAACAAAAAAAAAAACCTTTTTATTGAGTTATTGCGCCTACCGCAGAATCTATGCTAGGCTATTTGGAGGAACCCAGAAGCCAACACATGACTATCTATCTCTCCATACTGCCCCTAATATGAGAAAGAACCAATTCCTAAACAGTGAGGAGAGGAGATATTAGGGAAGAGCCTTGAGTTAAAATCTCAGAATTTTGTGAGTTCACAGGTGCATACACTGTCCCCTTTTGATGGTGTGGCAGCAGAAAATACAGGAAATCTGGCTCAGGCTTTGATCTTGCATTTGAAGGTTTCTCATAAAAAGACCACATTTTCAAATTTCCTAACTCCTGGACAATTAAGTGAGAATCCACTGCCTTAGGAGAGGTTTTAGTATGTCAACAATTGACTGACTAAGGACCACAGTGCCTCTGGGCTGAAACTGAATATGAAATTGCCCCAGATCATTCACTGGGCTTTACGGATACCTGAGTGGACATCATTCCCCACTACCTCCTTCCCTGCCATCCTATATTTGAGAGTCCCTTTAAAATATTTTAAACACTTTTTTAAAAAATTGAATGGGGAAGTTGTTTACGCTGTTTTCTTTTTCAAAGCAAAATCAGCCTCACTGTGTGGTGCTGAGGTTGTCAAGTCTCTACTTAACGGCTACTACAGGAAGATTGAGTCCCTCTCTCACTGTCTCTTTTCCCTCCCTCCCTCCCTCTCCCATTCAAGTGTCAGGAAAATTCTCTGTGCCTCTCTCCAAAGGCACCTCAACAGCTGTGAACTCATGACCTAATTGTTCTAATGGCATTCCCAAGCTCCCCTGCTCAAGGCCAGAGAAATCTCAGGCCTTTGGACCTCTAGCCAGTAATTCATGGTACTTAGTCAAACTCCGTCCCCTCCCTGCAGGCCCCTCCTGCTCCCCTCCCACTCCCTCCTCCTGGCCTCTGCTCTCACTCTCTGCTCTCTCCTCACACCAGTATGAAGCAGCTTGATCACCTGCCAACTGGTATTGATTTTTGCTTCCCAATCTCCAGGCTGGATGGAAGGAAAAGATTAAAAACAGTTTGTCAGTTTGAAGTTGAATAAGAATTCGGCACAAGGGACGTCTTAGAAATGTGAGGAAGTGGCAGGGGAGGTTGGGCGTGTGGGCAGTCAAGGCCAAAGCAAGTCTTAAGGGAGTTTAACCCTTTATTGCTATCAGCCCCAGAATTTCCGAAGAGGATATGCTGTCATCCTGCAGACTCCCTTTTCTTGTGCCTCATGTACTCACATCCTCTCATGATTTTCTTTTTGTCCATAACATCAAACATGGGTTTTATCTGGACTATCCCAGGCCCAAGGATACCACCCCTTTGGCTCGCTGACACCCATGTTAAGTTTGCATTCCTCAAATCCGCGCTACATCCTGCTAGGTCAACTCAGGCCTTGCCAGGAGATAGTGTCTGAATTCCTGTGGCTCTTCAGTTGTAGGGAGCCCCTGACCCTATGCATCTGAGCACTGCCAACAGCCCCTGTTAGTATTCATGGAGCAGGTCTGTCTGCTGCTATCCTTGTCAAGACAGAGTAGGGAGATCAGGGAAATTTGCCCTTCAAAAAAATGAGTATCATTGACTCATGAAGGATCCTTTTGGCTTCTTTGTCAGCTATAGAGATGACAAATGATTTACACGCATCTGTAGAAAATCTGAAGGGCTACAGCACAAAGAGTCAGCACGTGGAGGAGTCAAATCTAAGGTACTAAAATGTTACTCAAGGGCCAGGTGACTAGTCTTCCAAGAGCTCAGGGGCTGAGCTGAAGCAGAAGGGCCACCTTTCCCTTTCTTACCTTTCCCATGAACAGAGTGTTTAGAACCAGGTCATACTAACTTGTGGCCACAGAAACAGGGATAGGAGATTTCTGCACAATAATGAGGATTTTGCCAGTTCCACAAAAGGTTCAGTGACATCTACCTCTTCTTTCCTCATTTTCTCTACCCAATTTGGTATTAATGATGTGTGCAATACGTAACTGTCCTAGTTTGCTTTCTATTGCTTATAATAGAATATCAGAAACTGGATAATTTATAAAGAAAATGAATTTATTCTTACAGTTGTGGAGGCTGGGAAGTCCAAGGTTGAGGGGCTGCATCTGGTGAGGGCCTTAGTGCTGGTGGAGACTCTCTTCGGAGTCCCGAGCAGCACAAAGTATTACATGTTGAGGGGGCTGAGCATGTAATGTGCTAGCTCAGATCTCTAATCCTCTTCTTATAAACCCAGCAATTCCTCTTTCATGATAACCCATTAATCCATGAACAGATTCATTAATTCACGAAGACAGAGCCTTCATTACCCAGTCACCTCTTAAAGGCCCACCTCTCAATACTGCCACATTGGAAATGAAATTTCAACATGAGTTTGGGGAGGTATAAATATTCAAACACTCGCAGTAGCAAAACAAGACAGAAATCAATTTTGTTAGCATGAAAGTCTGGATGATGTGCTGTTCAGATTGTTTGGCCCACTCTGTGCACTCATATTTTGTCCCTGTCAATTGTATTCTACTTAGTCCAAGTAGCTTATATATTAAAAAATAGTATCTAGGAGTATTCTATAAATCAGAATTTCATGAAGAAAACAAAAAGATATTAAAGAATGGTTAAAACTGTGCTGAGTATCAGAAATTTTGCTCCATTTATTATATGTATTTAAGCAGCATAATTAAGTAGGAATTTTGAGTTCTTTCTCAACACTCTTGCTAAGGAAGGAAGCCTGGTCCAGTCTTGTTATCTTCCTGGTTTTCTCATACATTTCTCATCTCATCTCATACCATAAGCTTCGTTGTGTCAGTTTCTTTTCCCATGATTTTTAATACTTGATCTCAAGCTTATTTTTTGCATATGCTCTAACACAAAGTGCTGTCTTGACTTTTTCTCTGAGAAACTGTTTTCCTCCAATATACTCTTCAAAATACCACTTGTGATTAGATGATGATATAGCCTCATACCTATCAAAGCCTGGTGTTTTGTCTGTTTCCATTTTGATCATGATTTTATATTACTTCTATAGTGAACAGTATAGTTATGGCAAAAATGGGATTAAAATCTCATTGCAGAAAAAATGCCATTTGGAACTGGGAATAACTGCCCACGTAAAAGTGATCCAAAAATATTTATAGCATTGGGCACACAAATAAATGCCATGATATTGTTTATATTAAGTCCTTAAATATTCACCAACCCTTCTCCCAAAAAGAGATTTATTTGCCTTAAAGAGGAGATACAGAAAGAGATAGGGGTAGAAAGTTTATTCAAAGGAACAATATCAGAGAACTTCTCAAACCTAGAGAAAGATATCAATATTCAAGTACAAAAAGTACAGAACACCAAGCAGATTTAACTCAAAGAAGTCTACCTCAAGATATTTAATAATCAAACACCCAAAGGTCAAGGGTAAAGAAAGGATCCTAAGGGCAATAAGAGAAACAAATAGCATACAATGGAGCTCCAATATATCTGGCAACAGACCATTCGGTGGAAACTTTACAGGCCAGGAGACAGTGGCATGACATACTTTAAATCTTCAAGGAAAAAAAAAAAAAAAAAAAAAAAAGACCTTTTACCCTAGGCTATAATATCCAGCAAAAATATCATTTAAGCCTGAAGGAGAAATAAAGACCTTCCCAGACAAACAAAGCTGAGGGATTTTATCAGCACTAGGCCTGTCCTACAAGAAATGCTAAAGGGACTGCTGGACTGGGACATGGGGAATGAGCTCTTTCTGGCCTTCACCACATCTCACCTCCCCTTAGCAGAGCAGAAACTTGCCAGGTATAAACTCCGAATTGTTAAGCCACCAAAATTACCCCTAGAGAAAAAACCCAACCCTGATAAGGATGGTCCAGATTATGAGCCCAACCTGTGGATGTGGGTAAACCCTAACATCGTGTATCCCCCTGGAAAGCTGGAGGTCCCAGGACTTACGAAGAGGGAGGATCTGACAAGCACGCTCCCCTCCTCTCAGCCATTCCAGAAGGAGGAAGATGTCAGCTGCTCAGATCCCACAGGGGTGGAATCACTGTCCCGGTCCTCCAGCGAGTGGTCGCCCCCTCGGAAGCGGTTTGCCTTTTCCCCCAGCATCTGGAAGAAAGCACTTCCCCTTTTTCCGGACGGCCACAGAAGGCTGGAAGAATACCGACCGTCACAATCTCTGTTTCCGAGACAGCTTTGAGAAAGTGCCTGTCAGCAGCATGCAGGGTGGGGCCAGCACACGGCCTCGATCTTGCCTCTGGAAGTTGACCGAGGAGGGACACCGCCGCTTTGCGGAGGAGGCCAGAGCCTTGGCTTCCACTCGACTGGAAAGTATCCAACAGTGCATGAGCCAGCCAGATGTGATGCCCTTTCTCTTTGACCTCTAACCCCAAGAAGTGAGAGCCAACTAATTCTTTATTAAATTTACCCTCAGGAAAAAAAAAAAAAAATATATATATATATATATATATATATATATATATATATATATGAAAGAAAAGGTTGTTTGTGAGCAAAAGGAAATTATCTGAAGGTATAAAACTCACTGGTAATAGTAAGCACCAGAGAAAAATAGAGAATAGTGTAACACTGTAATTATAGTGTATAAACTTTTCTTGACTTACGTATCAACTCTAAATAATAAGCCAATCAAAAATAATAACTACAACAACTTTTCAAAACACAGAGAGGGCAATAAAGCAAGAAGAGAAACAACAAAAGGTTTAAAAGTAGGGGATGAAGTTAAGAGCGTAGAGTTTTTGTTAGTTTGCTTTTTGCACATTTGTTTGTTTATGCAATCAGTGTTAAGTTGCCATAAGTTTAAAATAATGAGTTCTAGAATAGTACTTGCATGGTACCTGCAAATCAAAAAACATACCGTAGATACACAAAAAATAAAAAGGAAGCTATTAAACCATGCCATCTGAGAAAATCTTCACTAAAAGGAAAATAATATGAAAGGAAAGAAAGAAAAAAAAATCATAAAACCAGAAAACAAATAAAATGGCAAGAGTAAGTCCCCACTTACTAATAATAGCATTGACTATAGATGGATTAAACACTCCAATCAAAATTTGACAAGAGTGTCTGAATAGATTTTTTTAAAAAGACTCAATGATGTGTTGCCTACAAGAACACGCTGCACCTATAAAAATGCACATAGACTGAAAATAAAATAATGAGAAAAGACATTCCATGCGAATGGAAACCAAAAAAGAGTAGGAGTCACTGCACTTATATCAGACAAAATAGATTTTAAGACAAAAACTGTAGGAAGAGACAAAGAAGATCACTATGTAATGATAAAGTGGTCAATCCAGCAAAGGACATAATGATGATAAATATATGCACACCCAACACTGGAGCACCCGGTTACATAGAGCAAATACTATTAGAACTAAAGAGGGAGGGAAATAGACCCAATACAACAACAGCTGGAGATTTTAACACTCTACTTCTGCCTTAGACAGACGTCCCAGACAAAAAAATCTACAAAGAAACATTGGACTTAATCTGCACTATAGGACAAATTTCCAGAAAATTTTATCCAGAGGTTGCAGAATACACATTCTTCTCCTCAGCACATAAATCATTCTCAAGAACAGACTATATGGCATGTCACAAAACCATTCTTAAATTATTCAAAAACTGAAAATAATATCAAGTATTTTCTCTGACCATAATGGAATAAAACCAGATATTAACAACAAGAGAAATTTTGGAAACTATATCAACACATGGAAATTAAACAATATGCTCCTGAATGACCAGTGGGTCAGTAAAGAAATTAAGAAAAACATTGAAAATTTCCTGAAACAAATGATAACGGAAACACAACATACCAAAACCTACAGGATACATTCAAAACAGTATTAGGAGGGAAAATTATAGTTATAAGTGCCTACATGAAAATGGTAAAGGTCAGAGCAGAAATAAATAAACTTGAAAGAAAGAAAACAAGAAAAAAAATCAGCTAAATAAAAAGTCGGTTTTGCCGGGCACGGTGGCTCAAGCCTGTAATCCCAGCACTTTGGGAGGCCGAGGCGGGTGGATCACGAGGTCACGAGATTGAGACCATCCTGGTCAACATGGTGAAACCCTGTCTCTACTAAAAATACAAAAAATTAGCTGGGCATGGTGGCGCATGCCTGTAATCCCAGCTACTCAGGAGGCTGAGGCAGGAGAATTGCCTGAACCCAGGAGGCGGAGGTTGCGGTGAGCTGAGATCGCGCCATTGCACTCCAGCCCGGGTAATGAGTGAAACTCCATCTCAAAAAAAAAGTTGGTTTTTCAAAAAGTTAAACAAAATTGACAAATCTTTAACCAGACTATGAAAGCAAACAAAGGGAGAAGGCCCAAATAAATGAAACCAGAAACAGAAAAGGAGACATTCCAACTTATACTGCAGAAATTCAAAGGATCATTAGTGGCTACTATGAGAAACTATATGCCAATAAATTTGAAAATCTAGAGGAAACGTACAAACACATAGATACATAAAACCTACCAGGATTGAACCATGAAGAAATCCAGAACCTGAACAAACCAATAACAAGCAGTGAGATAAAAAGCTGTAATAAAATGTCTCCCAAGAAAGAAATGCCTAGGACCTGATGGTTTCACTGCCAAATTCTAAGAATCATCAACAAAATGCTAGAAAAGTCAATTCAGCAATACATTAAAAAATCATTCATCAAGTAGGATTTACCCCAGGGATGCAAGGATGGTTGGACATACACAGATCAGTCAATGTGGTACATCATATTAAAAGAATGCAGGACAGAAACCATATGATCATTTTAACTGAAGTTGAAAAACAAATAAAATTCGACATCCCTCCATGACACCATCCCATCCCTCACGTGAAACAACTTAAATACAAAAAATGTTCATTTCAGCTGAAAAGATGTCAAAAATTTATAAGCAACTATAGTGTCCAAGAATAGAAACGTGGTTAATTATATTACACTGCATTCTATATGTTACCATTAAAAATTGTTTTAGAAAAATAAGAAAATTAAAACATATTGACAAAAGTGTTGACCCTTGAACAACACCAGTTTGAACAACCTGGGTTCACTTATGGTCAGATTTTCTTCTGCCTCTGCCACCCGAGAGGAAGCAAGACCAACCTCTTCTCTTTCTTCTCCTCAGCCTACTCAATGTAAAAATGACAGGGGATTTAGGATAATCCACTTCCACTTAGAAAATAACACAAAGGATAAATGCTTTAGAGGATTGATACCCCATTTTCCATGATGTGATTTTCTCTTCTTTATGGTTTTCTAACTTTTTTTCTCTAGTTTACTTCATTGTAAGAATACAGTATATAATACAATAACAACAAAAAGTTATGTTAATCAACTGTTTATGTTATCAACAAGGCTTCCTGTCAAAAAATAGATTGCTAGCAGTTAGGTTTTGGGGGAGTCAAAGTTATATATAGATTTTTAACTGTGCGGCAGGGATGAGGAGTAATAGGAGGGGGTGTCAGCATCTCAACACCTGCAACAAAACCTGCATGTTGTTGAATTCCGTACAGCTGTAAAATAATCCTATAGAATTATAGTACTATCCCAGTTTCCAAAACGTGTGTGTGTGTGTGTGTGTGTGTTTGTGTGTGTAAGAGACTGCGAGTATGAGAGAAATAGAGAGAGGCTATTAACGAAAATGCTAACAACAGCTATTGCTTTTACTAAGGAAAGTTTTTAATTTTGTTCATTTATCTATATTGTCTGGATATAAAAGTGTAACTTTTATAATAAGAGAAAAAAGTATATTTAAATCTCACTTATTCAGTCCAAAAGGCTTTGGAAATAACTGTTTATAGTTCCCAAATTTGAAGGGATAAAAATTTATGTTTCAAAGAAATAGTTCTGTTATTTTAAAATATGCTTAAATCTCTTTTATTTACTTAAAGATACAAATTTTTCCCACTGTTTATTTCTACATGCTGCTTTAAAAATATAACCGATATTTCTAGGACTGAAGTATAAGTTTTGAATACTCAAGCATGGCATCTAGGTATGATTTTAATGAAACCAGTTATGGGGAAGAGTTTTCAAATTATGATGGATTCCAAATAATTGGATAATGAGCACATAAATATTTCCTGTGTCACCAAATATCAAGTTATAACACAATAAACACTTGTACAAAGTTTTGTTTTGAATGCTTATGTTCAAACAAACAATCTGAAATTTACTATTTGTAAAATCATAAGTTCATAATTTCTGCATTTTGGTTTCCTCATCTGGCAAATGGGTTAATAATAATACCTCACAAGACTGTTGGAATAAACCAGTGTGATCATTCATGTGAAATCATATTATCAGGTATAAAACATCATAGAGAACATTTGTCATTATTGAGAACAACCTACTGATTTGTATAAGCAGAAAAGTTAAAGGTCAAATGAACAAAAGTCTAACCTGAATCATAAAAACAGAGTCATGCATCAAGTCAATTCTCAGACTTGAGCCAGCTTACCAACCTAGAACCCTTGAATGAAGAAGAGACTAAGTCCCCTTGAGGAAGGAAACTAGTAAAAGTGTATTCTGCTCATCTTTCTCCCAGCCTTTCTCAAAAGGACTTACGGCCTTTTGTCAGGGCAACTGGGCACTGGGGAGAAAGGAATAGCCTGATATTTTGGGGACTACTATAAACTGTCACTGACCTGACACTAATTTCTAAAGATTCAAAATGTGTACTATGGGCCATCAGTCAGAGTGGGGACTTACGGAGAAGGTAAGGTGATTCATGGAGTTTCGGCTTAGGTACATCTTGAGAGCCTGGGCCCAGTGGTCCCTCAATTCATCTTGTGATTATTTCCCAGTTCTGCAATTTATAATCAGAATATGTTTACCCAGCACCTGGCAGAATTCACACTGATTTTCTGACTTGTGGAGTAGGGGTTATATGATAGAAAATGCCAAGTGAAAGCCATTAGGGCTGTCTCTACCCAGGAAATAGTAAACCAAGCCAATGCTGCAATCCTGAAAACATTACAGAAATTAGTGTAACCATCAATGACTTGAAGTTTGCAAGGGTGGTCATTTCCACCAGTTCCCCATTCAGCTCACTTATTCAGTCTATGTAGAACATAAATGGAATCTGGAGAATAACGTGGATTAATATAAGTTTAACAAGGTGGTGACTACAATTCCAGCTTCTGTATCCAGTGGAGTTTCATTCCTTAAGCAAGTTAACACTCAAGTACTAACTCTAACACACCCATTGATCTGACAAATGCCATTCTTTCCATTTCCATCCATAAGGCTGATGGGAAGCAGTTAATTTTCAACTGATAAGGATAACGTACACCTTCATTATCCTACCTCAGAGATAAATCGACTTTCCAATGTTGTGTTATAATTTAGTTCTCAGGGATCTTGATAATCTTTTCTTCCCACAAGATATCACACTGG